AAACAAACAAACAAACAAAAAAACAAACAAAGCCAGGTATGGTGGTGTGTGTCTGTAGTCCCAACTACTGGGGAGGCTGAGGTGGGAGGATTGCTAGAGCCTGGAAGGTCGGGCTGCGGTGAGCTGTGATCGTGCCACTGCACTCCAGCCTGGGTGACAAAGTGAGACCCTGTCTCAAGGAAAAGAGAGAGAGACAGACCCACAAGAGTCTTAAGCCAGAATCTCCATGTTAAAATGCTTTCTGGAGGCTAAAAGGATTATATATTGATAAGGAAATATTTAAAAGGCAGAAACCCCACTGAATTTTTTGGTCTACAAAGGGAAATGGGAATCCCGTGATCTGAAGGATGATGGAGGAACTGAACAGACACCGTCCTTGTTTCCTGAGTCTGAATATGGTACCCTCTTTTCAGGGTGCCTGTATCTGCTCAGTCCGGCGGCCCCTCGAAAAGAGGGAATCTTGAGTTTCAAACTTAAAATTTGGCCCACTGCCCATAATGCTCGCCAGACACATTCCTTTTCCTTTTTAGTTTCTATGGGAATACTCTGTTTGAAGAACCCATGAGGCAGTGTCAGGCTGGTGTGAGGATCAGCAGTGATTTCTTTGAGGAGGAGAGCCCGTTTCTTCACTCCTAGGCCATGTCTGAGTGGATCAAGAAGAACAGAGTGCCCTTTTATGAGATTTGGTCTGCGTAGACCATTAGCTTGGTAAAAATGTCAAAACCATCCTCGTTCTTTCATAGCAGATTATTTTGGACTTTTCTCTGCAAGAAGCAGCATGGGCATTCAGATGCTTTTAAGGATAAAATGTTCTTTCTCATCACCAGGCCTGGCGCTCTGGATGGCTGAGGTTTTAATGTGACTGGGTGTGCCTTGGAGTGGCTCCCAGGCTGTGCTCTTGCGGTTGGGTGGCAAGGGGTTGCTTTATTCGGTGGTGGCTAGAGGGTGTTTTAGCAGGTAAATCGAGACCCCAGGAGCCCCTGAGCGCCCAGGCCTGCTGCAGGGCATCTGTTTATGGTGGAGGGTGAGGGACGTTGATTCCCTGCCAGTATGAGAAGTTTCACAGTCTTCTTGTGTATCCACAAACACCCACCCCAGTGAGAAGGCATAGAAACCCTGGCCCTCTCCAAGCCTTTATTGACCCCTTGTAAATAATCCCAGGATGTGTCCGACCCACAGCTCTTCCTGGAAGGACAGAAAAGTCTCTCTTAGGTATTTGGTTATCAACCTCAACCATTCAATCCACCTTCCCCAAGACCAGGCACCTCAGCAGAGATTTCTGGGTTGTCAGGCGGAACCGAGCATTCAAGGGTAATAACTCACGGGAGTTTTGGCACAGTCACATTTGGGGTCAGACCATTCGTGGTGGTGGGGTCGTCCTGTGCATTGTAGGATGGTTAGCAGCATCTCTGGTCTCCATCCTCTAGGTGCCATTCTCCCCTCCCAGTTACGTCTACCCCAAATGTCTCCAGACGGTTTGACATGCCATGGGGCAAGGGAGTGGTACATGAGCAAAACCACCCCCATTGAGAGGCATTGGTCTATACTTGTGGAAACGTTTGAGGGTGAGAGTGTCGAGCTTAGGTCCCTGCTGTACCCTTTGGGAGCAATGCGGTCTTGGGAAATTAATACTACTCCAGGGGTCTCAGTTTTCTCATCTATAAAATGGAGATCAATGAGATACACTTTCATAGGAAGGTTATATGGGATTTACTGAGATGATAAGACAGTACATAGAAAATGCTGGGCATAGCATTTATTTTTAATTTTTTTTTTTGTTTTAAGACAGAGTCTCGCTCTGTTGCCCAGGCTGGAGTGCAGTGGCGTGATCTCCGCTTACTGCAACCTCCACCTACCAGGCTCAAATGATTCTCCTGCCTCAGCCTCCCAAGTAGCTGGGATTACAGGTGCCTGCCACCACGCCTGGCTAATTTTTGCATTTTTAGTAGAGAGGTGGTTTCACCATGTTGGCCAGGCTTTTCTCAAACTCCTGATCTAAGGTGATCTGCCGACCTCGGCCTCCCAAAGTGCGGAGATTACAGGTGTGAGCCACCGTGCTGGGCTGGGCATAGCGTTGTAATGGACAAAGCACAAAATACTTGGGCAATATCTTTTTACATTTGGGTTGTATAGACTCCATCCTCCATCCCCTCATGCAATGGTGCGGTGCAGGGCAGAGTATCACCCACCTCGACTGCAGAGTGGATTTGGGTGGCATCTTGGCTTTCTGCACAAGACTCGCCTGTTCCTCACCACATCCCCCTGGTTCTCAGGGTCCAAGATTCCAGGAGGCAGAGACGTGGGCAGGCAGGGCAGGTGGCCCACCCAGTTCATTCCCACGCTGGGGACTTGCAGAGCCGGCTCCCCAAGACAGGGTGTTTGGACCAACATCTGGGTTTTTGGATTTCCATTTGAGCACAGCTGGACTACACAGGCTGAAGCTCTCTCTGCCGAGATATAGATATTTCCCTGGCAACGATCTTTCAAGCTGACAGGAAGACACGGCCACCCGCTGGAATGCGGTGTGTCTGCCGTGGCGCTCTTGTAATTTGTGAGGCAGGCTCCTGAGGAATGCAGTGCGTAAGTGGGAGATGGTGGGAAGTTCTCACATCCTCCCCTGGCCGAAAGTGCTGCCTGCGCAGGTTGGTGGACGGTCCTTTGAGCAGAAAGAAGACGCAGAACACATTCCTGTTAGCTGTGACAGAGAGGGACAGGGTACACACTGGACATTTCAAGCCCCTCCAGAGAAGCAAGTCTCACTGTGCTGGGAGTACTTGTGGAGTGGGGGCCGTGTTGCCCTGGGCTTTAATTATTTCAGGAATATTTAACCACAGGGCCGGCAGGCTGGATCTTGATGTGTGTTTCTCAGTTGGAAAGACTTTGGACCATAGGAAAATGTCTCAATTCTTTGAATTTCATGAAGGTGGTCATTATTTCTTTTGGTGGCCTCTGGAACGTGACACAGAACTCAAGGGACAGGAAGGAGATGAGTTGGAGGCTGGGACAGGGGTCCCTGGTAGGGATGCTGGTGACTCACGTGATGGTGTTGGAGATGTGTGGAGTCCAGTGCCTGATTTGGGGAATATTCGTGGGGTATGTTCCAAAGGACTTATGGACCTGTTAGGTACTGGAGGTGAAGGGTCAAGTTTTACCTCAGGGCTACAGTGTCAGGCAAGAACAGGAAGTCGATGTTGGACTCATTGGCTGAGGTTGCTTGGAACCCAGGAGGCAATGTGGGCCGGGACAGATGGGTCTGGGGCTAGGAGGGCAGGTCTGGGTTGGAGACTCACTGGGGCTTGGGGGACATCCCAGGTAGATGGTGGTTGAGGCTATGGAAATGACTGCGATTGCCTGGGATGAGAGTGGAGACAGACAAGATGGGGGTTTTGCTCTAAGCCTGGGGAACCCACCTCCTAGGTTCAAGGGATTCTCCTACCTCAGCCTCCCGTGTAGCTGGGAATGCAGGTGTGTGCCACCACGCCCTACTAATTTTTGTTTTTTTAGTAGAGATGAGGTTTGGCCAGGCTGGTCTCAAACGCCTGACCTCATGTGATCTGCCCACCTTGGCCTCCCAAAGTGCTGGGATTATAGGCATGAGCCACCATGCCTGACCATT